CTTTAGCATTTATAATTATTTTTCTCACTGAAAAATAATTGAATCCTCATGCTGAAAAATAAATATAAAGTTAACTACGATTAATAATCCGGGCTGGTGATCGGGCAACCCATTCGAGATGCTGCGACTAATGTGCATGTGACGCTTATTATCAAATCTAATACACGTGATTCCCAGATCCTTAATAATTTGCATGAAAATGTACCAAATCATATGTTAATTTGTAAGTTATACAAGTGATAAACGGAAAATAAAAAACTGTCCTTTTTAACGATTTCCGCACATCTCTTTCTGGTTTCTTTGAATATTAAAATGGGTAAAATATGTATCATGAGGTTATCAATCGAATTTGGTTTAATATTCATATAAAAATTCTTTAATTCTCCTTATAGTAGATATCTTCTTATAATAAAGACCGGAGGCTAAAGATGGGCCCGAAACTGATGACGTAGTTTAGGGAGATAACCAAACTAGTTTAGGTTATAGTTATGTCTCTCCAGGGACCCATCTTTACCGGACCAGAGGCCAAACATTTGATTTTACAAGAACATTTCATCTAAGAAACATTGACAAAATCCACTGCGATCCTCTCATTCAGGTTGAGTATCTTTCCATCTACTAAATCAAGTGCAACATCCAAATCATCAAACGCCGCATACATTTGCACGCAGTTATCCTTGCGATATTCATAAGCGACGTACATTGTTGGAGATAGTCGATCAGTTTTCTTGAGATACGTATCAAAGTATTTCCCTTCACAACATACATATTTCAATCCACCGTCGTTTTCTTTTGTCAGATATGTCGCGAGCAAAAGAGATTGCGTCGTCAATTTTTCTAAAAATTCCCTATAGGCTAACAGAATTCTTTGCGGTAGTCGTAGTAACAGCAGCAAATGATTTTTACTGATTCATTTGATTACGATGGTAGCAATGCTCACTTTCGGAAAGTCGGTGCACATGACTCACTAACATAATTATCTATATTTGGAAACTGATATGCATTAGTGTTAGTGAGTTAGTTAAACCAGTGAATAATGTAGTCCATAAAAAAATAAGTGGATATTTTTATTCAATAATCCTTTATCCTTCAAAGACATTTCGTAATTAACTAATAAAATATAAATGTCCTATAAATACCACTTGATCTTGTTAAAAATTAGACTAATAATTTTGATTAATATAAAGAATAGTAGTTGGCCTGAAGTGGAATGAAAAAGCATAGAAAAGTAAATATCAAAAACTAGAAAAAAGCTGTTGATCTCTGGCGTTTCTTCATATTAGAAAAAGTAATTAAACATTATTTTAGGATGTTATTACCTTACTTAGAGATAGGCATATAATAAGAATAAATAAATGTCTCGAGTTTAGAGGACCATTATCATCGTAATCTCAATAATGTTTGGGGATGAGTGAAGCTTTGTTGCGTGTATATACATATATCTAATACTTGTTAATTCGCCGTCACTTGATTAATGAACTGCTAATATTTCATCTTCCACGACGTCAATACCCAATACCTCCAAGACTTTGGACATCTCTTCAGCTTTTGACAACACTCCACCAAAGTAGAATTTAGATTCATCTGAAACCTTCGCTTTTTCACGCTGCTCTTTTCGTTTTTGTTCTTCGGCATCAATAGCTCGTCGGAAGCAATCTCGTAAATAATTGATTGAACGACGAGTGGCTTTGCGTCCGTGATAGGCAATACGATGTGCCTGGAATTCAGCATAATTGGATTGCGTAAGATGACTACGAACCTTGCGAGCAACATTGCGTGAGACAGCATTACGTGCATCGCTCACGACATAAACAAAGAAACCGAGACCTAAAATATTATGTTTTTTTTTTTAATTATACTTTATCTAATATATAATTTTGACTTGAATCAATAAATTTACCAGCTAAGCCAATAAGAGGAAGAGCTAATTTGCGCATATTATTGAAACCAACTACGTTGGAGATCTTTAATACACTTGACATAACATTGTATCCCAAGAACTTGCCTCCAAACTGTGAAGTAAAAAAATTAGTTTATAATGATTCATGTAGAAATTAGTGCTAATTAGTAAGGAATAATATAACTTCACCATGACAAGAGCACCTCCAGAGATGCCAAGTATTCCAACGTTTTCATTCATTCGATGATTCAAGTCAAGACCGAGATTCAAGTCGAAGAAATCGCTTGGATCGATATGAATTTGAATCGGATTGTTATTTCTATTGGTGAAATATTTATCAAGTTTAGCATCGATCGGATCGATACTAATGTTTTGTACGGGCATTGCTTGAATCTGTTCGATGCAAGTAGATACTTCTTGTTTGGCGCTTAATTCACATTGACTAAGTTCATTTTGAATTTTTTCTAGCATGCTGTCACGAAGTTCCATTGCATAGTTCCACACATACAAAAGGCCATGATATCTACAATCTTCATTTACTTTATGTATATCAAGAATTACGTTTGTAAGTCGACTTTTGATTGTTTGATTGATTGATTGACATGTAGATTCACAAAGTCGCTCTGCTTCCTCCACGACACGACTTCCATCTCGTTGCAATTTTCGGAAGGCAGGTTCACCTTCTTCCAATTCCCGGGTAAGTTGTTCATATTCTTTAGCAGCAAGTTCACGATTAAATTCAGCGAGAACCCCAATGTCATATAAGAGATTATGTAAATAATGCCCTGCTGGTGCCAATTTAGATTTTGATCGTTTCTTTAGAACAAAAGTACGCAAGCTCTCTTCAAGATGATCAACTTCGGGGATGCGATTTGTGTGTGGTGGATTCCCGTCCACGTTGATGGCATTAGAACTGACAAAGTGTACAAGATCATCGTGATATTCAAAGGTGCGTGGAGAGATTTGTTTAATTTGTTCCAGAATCATGCGTCTACATTTTTCTTTGTTTTTAATCTCGTCGAATTTATTTACGACAATAAATAGATACGCCTTTTCGTTGGATGCATTCCACAAAAATTGGTTTGCCTATATTTCGAACATAATAATAGAATATATAATTTTGAATAGAATAATATTTAGAAACAATGATCGAACTATTCAAATATCACATAATTCAACGTTATTATTTTGGCATCATACCGATAATGTAAAGTGATTTTCAGCACTAACGACAAATACTATAACATCAATTTCTTCCTGCCTCGCAAATACAGCCATCGTCTTAAGAGAGTCAGAATTCAAGCCAGGGCAATCGATCAATGCAATATCCACAACTCCATTGTGTAATAAGCTTTCATGGGAAAGTCGATTATCTTGACAGTATATCTTCAAAAGAGCGTATCCTTCCGTATTATCCGACACGACTCTCTCTAAATGCTCGAAATCGATAATGGTATACGTAGTTGGGTCGTTGACATTATATGCTTTTATATCTTTAATACCATGCACCGCTTCTCTTCCTCCATTTTCTCGAGCATCTAAAACCTCACAGAATAAAGTGGTACAAGGTTGTTGATCAACCGGCAAAATACCTTTTCGGAGGAGAGCATTGACAAAGGTACTTTTCCCGGCATTCAAATCACCAGCGACCAATACTTTTGAACTTTTATCGGCTATTCGTGCGCTCAGATTTTGGAGATGATTTAAGGTTTTGCCGATTTGTACGTTGAGCAGCTCAGCAATCGAATCTTTCTTGATGGCAGACATCTCGGCTGATTTCATATCCAATTTAAGCACATTGACACTCGAATTAGATTCTTGAGCATCTTCAGGAGTAAGAAGTCGGTGTTGTATTTCTAGTTGAAAATTAGATATCTGTGGCAGGTTAAAAGTGCCGGTAAGGCTATTGGTACGCTTATGAACACGACGAACAGGAGCTTTTCCAGAAAAAGACTGAGTACGCTCCGGCTTACGGTTTTCGTTTGAATAAAGAAATGGATACTGAATAACAAAACGGGCATTGTTAGTTTCACGAAGATTCTCCAAGACTGTTTTGGTGCCAGTCAAAAGACCTTGAACAGCTTGACACTTTTCTGCAAAGTCTTGTTGACCAGGCAAGTGTCCCGAAGAACTACTTTTACCAGAAGAAGTAGTAGTAGCAACAGCAGAGGAGGAAAAGACAGTGCCTTTGTTATCATAGTGGACTGGTTCCTGATAATTTAAATTACTCGTGTTTACAGAACCAGTACTTTTTGACATTTGACCATAGTCCTCAACTTGGTCTCTATCGATAAATTTATCAGGTATGGAATTTCTTCTTTTGGGTTTAGAAGAGGAGGCGTAGGATGAGGACATTTTTTCGTTCACTTAATACCAATATGCCACTAATAGCATATATTTGATATTGTTATTTGTTTAGGGACGATGGGTAAAAAAATAAATTGCACACGGTTTATCGTATCGGTATTAGTTTGATATATTGAGCTGATTGATTGAATCATAATCACCATCATCATCTTCATCATACATATTGATATAAAATTTTTTTCAATCAGTGAAAGATTGTTTTTTTTATTTCCAAGCAACATGTCTGAACAAGTGAGTATAGAAGGAATAAACTCAAAGAATTTATGATGAATGGAATTTAAACTAGATTGAATAGTAAAACCAAATTTTTTATAGATTGAAAAAGCTTTTCAAAAGCAACAGGGTATCTTCCAAAACCCTAAAGTGCTCACCAAGAAGACGAAAAATCTTCGGTGGTATAAAGATATTGGGCTTGGATATAAAACACCGAAAGAGGCCATCGAAGGACATTATATTGATAAGAAATGTCCATGGACTGGGGAGGTTTCTATTCGTGGTCGTATTCTTTCAGGAGTTGTCGTCTCGGCAAAAATGAAGCGAACAATCATTGTTCGTCGTGAATATTTGCATTATATCCCAAAATATCATCGTTACGAAAAACGTCACAAGAATTTAGCTGCACATTTATCCCCTGCTTTTGTCGGTGTGGAGGTTAGTTGATTATCAACTCATGTAATTGATTAATTACCCTCATTACTGATACATATGATTAATAATTTCTACGTAGTCTGGAGACACGGTCACTGTAGGTCAATGCCGGTAAGTAGAATGTGCCGTTTCATGCATCGCTGTTATGACAATGATGGATGCCTGTGATGTAGTTGTTAGGGTGACAGCCTGCCAAGCCCTTTATCCAATTGATTACTAACGATTATTCTATCATGATAAACCGAACGAAATCCAGTCCTCTGTCTAAAACTGTTCGTTTCAATGTTATCAAGGTCCAAAAGAAAATTCAAAAGGGTTCAAAACGATTTGCTAAGTAAGTTTTTTTATTTAATTTATGGAATATTTGTTGGATTTACAAACGAATATTTATTGAAATTATCATTCTCTTCTGCGAATAGATTTTGAAATAATTTGCGGTAGCATTATGTTCTTTGGATGAATGAATATTTTTCGTGTTCTATTATAAATTATATATATTAAAATAGATTGCCCTCATTATTCCTAAAAGCTTCTTTATATGTAAATGTATGTATAATAAAAAAAAGTCAGTCTGTGCCATCACGATGATGTTGTGTATCATGCACAATATTAACCCTGGCTGATCTCGAATAATGTCATTCTTAAAATTAAACCACGCGCTCATGCTTTTCGTATTATTAATTAATTTCTATCATGTATATTCTATCATTTCAATTCTTTATATTATATTTTCTCAAGGCACCAAAGGGATATAAAGAACGAGTACCAAATGATTATTTCCAAAAAAAATCGACGACTTATCTACGAGTGTCTCTTTAAGGGTTTGAGTTTGATATGGGATTGTGGTTTCCAACTTCTAATTCCATATAAAACTATGGCAGTAACTAAGCAAAAGAGTTTGCGATATATTTTCCAACTTTCACACAGACGGCGTATTGGTTGCAAGGAAAGATTTCCACGCACCAAAGCACCAAGATATTGATGTGCCAAACCTTGAAGTTATAAAGGCATGTCAAAGTCTTACGTCCCGTGGATACGTAGAGACGCGATTCTCTTGGCAGTATTATTATTACACATTGACTAGCGAAGGGATCGCATATATTCGTGAATACTTGCATCTTCCTTCGGAAATTGTGCCTTCGACATTTAAGAAGGTTAGACCACTGCCAGGTCATACAAGAATCTACACAGGTTTAGTGAAAAATTTTGATTCAAGAATTGAATATGAATGATGTTGTTTACTTTCTTCACTCATTGGATACAAAAGGTCTTCCGCGTACCCCAGAAGACTATCGTTATCGCGAAGAACCAAAGAAGGAGGGTTTCGAAGGTGAATTCAAACCTGATTTCAAGGGTGGTTTTGTTCGATCCAGGCCTGATCGCGACGCTTTCGAAGGTGAATTCAAGCCTAACTTCAAGGGTGGTTTTAGTCTAGCTAGGCCTGATCGCGAAGCTGTCGAACAAGAGGGACCAGAAGGTAGTCCTTCTGGTCTTTATAAAATTTAGGACATGCAACTTCGATTTCTTTGTTACACTGACCCTGATTGGATGACTAAAATAAATAAATTTCTTTTTACTTAATGCCTGAATTTCATTTCTACTCATTATCGTTATGGAAGGAATTCAGGATATTTCTGCCACCACTACACCAGAACAAAATTCGAAGAGAAAAATTGAAGAAGTATTCTCGCTATTCAAAGAACTTACTGAACCCGGAGAAGTTATTGATGAAGAACCTAAGTACTTAATAAATACGCGTTCTTTTTCCTTAATGATTCCGTGCAAGAACAAAATCATGTATTGGAATACCGGTTTTTTTGCTATGCTAGACGAAAAATCATGCGTGTCACGCAGGCACAATACAAAAATATCTCGGAGGAGCAAAATAAAGTTGAAGTCTCATATGACCCAATAGATTTTAAAAGTTACATGAAACGTCTTTCTACTTTCGATATATCCTTTATCATTGAATTTTCGCTATATACTGTAAAAATGCACCCTTAACCTTTACATAAAAAACACGACCTAACTTGGTTTGCAAAACCGGATAGCTTAAGACCGACAGAAGTCTCAAGATTTGGGTGGGAGAACGTAGATGTTGATAAACTCCAATGTGTCACCTGTGCCGCCGAGCTTGAAGTTAATTTTCCTCATGTAATTAACAAAGAGAATGGTGTGAAAGTTTCATTAGATTGTATCTTGCCTTAATTCTCATGATTTGCAATCGATTAACTAATATCTTAATTTGTGGAAAAAGCGCGAAAAGAGGAAGAAAAGCTTTATAAACTATTAGCAACAGCGCATGCAGAGCACTGCTCATGGGGTAGAAATCCATGCTCAGGTTAGTAAGTTTTAATGAGTAAACCGGGGATGACAATAAATCAGAGATTCACGAATTCGAGAAAATAGATAATATATATCGGTTTAGACAGCTACGACAGGATCACGCCGTTGAAGAATTCCGACAACGGGCATCTGAATTGATTAAATTGGGGGAGAACCTTCCTGTTATCAAGACAGATCTGGTAAATAATTAATTAATTCATATTTATGTTTTTATTTTTCTATTCACGTGTTTTTCAACCCATCTAGAGCGAGGAATTCACTCAGACAGTAATTGAGGCACTTTGTTTAGATTATCCTCTGGATTTGAGAATTGCTGCTACTGCGGGCTGTTTGTCATTATTTGGATGGGAATATCAACGCGTTTTGAACAGTTTTGACATAATACGATGCAAATTATGTCTTCGTCGTTGTGCTTTAATTAATTTTCGAAACATCTCTAAGCAAAAAACAATCGACGAAAAGAAGCAAAAAGACCAGACGCGAGATGGTGATACAATAATGCAAGGTCAACATCAAGAGCAGGAAACAACATTAAAAAGTACTAAACAAACACCAGATCTACAAGAACAAACACCAAATCAACAAGAACAAGCACCAGATCAACAAGAACAAATACCAGATCAACAAGAACAAATACCAGATCAACAAGAACAAATACCAGATCAACAAGAACAAGCCCCAGATCAACAAGAACAAACAGGAATAATGATGAAAGATTCTTCTGATGCTATAAACATTTCAACTGATTCCGATAAGGATGACGAATATTTCGCTAGTATTAACATCGAAGGTCTTCCAAAAACTCCAGATGAACGTTTATTTGATGTACAAACTGAACACAAATATTATTGTCCTTGGATAACTGGAGACGGAAAGCCAGCGAAAATTCAAACTGTTGAACAATTAGTGCAAAAACTTCCCGGTTGGCATCTTACTATGGAGGCTGTAGTGAAATCGACTTGTCACAAAGATGATAGCAAGGTTTATTATATATTTATATCTTCAATATTAATTATTAGTATCTTATCTTCATATTGTTACTAAAGTTTTTTGCTATTTATAACAGAGCGAAACACAGATTGGTAACTTTCGCAGTATTTTGTCCCCGATGAAATCAAACCCATTTTTCGAAGTTTCTAACGAATAAAATTCGAGCACGAATACAAATGTTTTTTGAGATTATTATATAATAAAGCTTTATCTTGTCAAAAAAGTCTTTTCCTGGAAATCACACTTTTTTTGCATTACACGTCGATCTTGTAATTTGATTGGTCATTCGATTGGAAAAAAGGTGTGCATAACATCAAGTGTTTGTTTGTATTTTAAACAACTTTACTAAGAAAATTTAATCCGTGAATATGCTCAGAAAGGGCCCATTCTATCTTATTCACGGATTAAATTTTGTATTTACTTCTTAGTAAAGATGTTTATATATTTTGTAAAATACAAACGTTTGATGACCTTAGATGTTCTGCACCATATGAAAAAATGTCTAGTTGATGGCAATGCACATGATAATTAATGCGACACAAATTAATGCGTGAGCTTCGAATTAAATTTAATTGGTAGACAAGGTATCGTTATTGTTCAGCAGTTTTTAGCGTCAGCTATTTTTGTTTAATATTATTAATTAAAACAGTGAATCGCATTTATTGGTTTTTTGACTTTTAATCAATATGATCTCTAATGGACGTCCCACTTGAACTGGCCAACGGATTCTTTCAGTCATTCTTTTCGTAATAATTGATATTGTTTGAAAAATCGTCACGTAGTTTGAATTCGTTGGTGATATGTGAATTTTTAGTAGTACTTTCCCAATTCGACAACGAAATATTTTATTCCGGTCTTTGCATTGGTTTGAACGATAAAAGAGGGTTAGAGCTTTGTGAGAGATGAACTTTTGTGCTTGTACTTTATTAATATTAGAAAAATAATTATGTGTCAACACTAGATTAAAGCATTACTCTTTACATCATTACAAAGGTCTGAAACAGTCTAGTAATAAAAGTATTAATATGTAAGCAAACTACGTAAAATAATCTGATGTTTTTTAACCAAATAACTTCTAATTTATTAGTGCAAAGAAATTAAATAATAGATTAATTGACGACAATTCACGAATGAATGAGAATCTATTTAAAATCTTCCTGAATACAAAAATACATAATTAATTCTCAAATATGATAATAATGCAAAATTTTTTATAATTAATTTTCCATTTTAATTATAAAAAATTTTGCAATTAGAACAACTTTGTCAGATTAAATCTAAAAAATATATGTTAAAATATAACTTATGATCTTTATTTTAATAAAAAAATAAAAAATATTTATTAATAAAATTAAAAACTTTTATATAAAACAAAAATTTCAATTTTTACTATATTCTTATTCTATTAATAAAATTGCACATGTAATTCCATAATTTTGTTAGTCGCTGTAGAAAGTTAATTAACTTATCTTGCAATTAGGAAAAACTTGTATTTTATTATATTTTATTAATAAATTTTGATACTATTGCATTTTTTTGATTGTTATTATATTAATATTGATTTTTATAAAGCTTTTTATATTTATATATCTTCATAATTATTTATAGAAATAGTATTTAAGACTAAATTAAATTCATTTATATATTATTACGTTTTATTAAAATATATTTTGTATTATAATAATATTAATTATTATTACATATATAAGTTGGATCATTGAACTTTGTTTAAATTCAATTATATTTATTATTTATATTCAAATTATTATATTTTAATTTAAATAAATTTATATATAATTACAATTTTTTTAATAATATAATTATTTGATGATTTACAATTTCATGTAATTAAATAATATATTTTGATTTGTTGATTATTCATTCAATAACTTGGACCAAATTGATCCAGTTCCAGTAAATCTGTTCCACTGAATTCACTGAACTGGACAATCTGGATCAAAGTAGTTCCAGCCCAACAATGTACAGAGGGGTTCAACAAAGATATATAACTTATAATAATAAATATATATACATAAAATTATAATGTTATGGTAATTATACAACTTAACTCGTTTCTCTTATTATTTACCGACCATCCGTTTCCTCTATACTCTTTTTCCAAATCACCTAATAGCTTTCATGGATTGCAAACGAAAAACACCGCTGCCAAGGTAACTTTTTTCTTTTATAATAATCGCTAAGAAAACGGAAATTATGAAAGGAGGATTTGTTTAACTCTTAACACACTTTCATTGTAAGAGTTTTCCGCTTGCGTCAAAAATACAGTTCCCTCAGTAGAAACATCCAACACGTCGATATCCTTTACACTTTCGTAAGCAAGTTTAACCTTTTCCATCGAATTAAGTTGCTCGTGCTGTTTTCTGAACCCTCTTACAAAAGTAACACGTTCTTGCAATTTCGAGTGCGCGGCGTGGATTATTATCGGGATAAATTTTTCAGATCGCTTACGAGTGACTTCTCGCGCTACATTCGTAAACTCTTTTATCACCTCTTCCCAGGTGCGGAATACTTCTTCAGCGCCAATCATTACTTTTTCAAAATCATCGTATTCCATGTACAT